ATTTTGGGGTTTGGAGGCAGGTCCCCAGTGTCCCGAAAACTATGAGTAAACCAGTGTGCTAAACATGATTGGCCAGGGTGCTGAGCACTATGTGTCACCAGTGTGCCCCAGTGTGCTGAGACCTATGTCTCAAGTGGCTGGGGGCCTTGTATGTCCCCCAGTGTGCTGGACCCTATTCCCCCATTGTGTGAGCCCCACTGTCCCCAAAGCCCGTTTTGTGAGACACTGTAACCGTGTGCTGAACACGTCACCAGTGTGCTGAGACACTATTGGCCCACCATTGTGCTGAGACACTGTCGCCATTTGTCCCTGGGGACACTGCACTTGTGCTAAAAACCCTATGATTCCCCCTGTGGGGCCGAGAAACTAAAAACATCAGGGGAGCTGAGCATATGATAAACCAGGGGGGGGCCGAGAAACTGTCAGGGGCCCGGGAACAAATGAAACTATTTGCTGAGCCCCCGTGTCACCAGTGGGGCTGAGACCAATGCCCCAGTGTGCTGAGACACTTGAGTCACCCAGTGTGGGGAGCCCACTAAAAGTCCCCAGTGTGCTGGGGAACCCCTATGATTCACCGTGGCTGAGACACATGATGTCCCAGTGGCGAGCCCACTATGATGTCCCCAGTGTTTGAACCTATGATGTCACCAGTGTGTGAGACACTATATGTCCCCCAAAATGGCTGAAAACCTATGATTTCATCAGCGGGGGCTGACTCACTCCCCGTGTGCTGGGGAACCCTATGAGGGTCAGTGGTTAAGACCTATGATGCCCATCAGTGGGGTTTGAAAACCTATGATGTCACCACTTTTGCTGAGCCCCAATGTTGTTCATCGGGGTTTTTGGGAGACTCTTTTAAAACATGGCTGAGACTTTATGATCCCAAACAGTTTTCTGAGTTTTTTTGGGGTTTTCATCAGGGTCCCTGAAATTTTTTTTGATTCATCAGTGTGCTAAAATTTTTTGATGCCCTTTCATTTGGCTGAAAACTTTTTGATGTCATAGTGTGCTGAAATTTTTTTGATGTCATCAGTGTGTTTAAACTTTTTGTTTTTAAACCCGGGGCTAAAACTTTTTGATATACAGAGGTGAGCCCCTTTTTTGATGTCATAGCTTGTGAGCCCTATGTTGTCATAAAGTGTGCCGATCCCCCTGTATGTCATCAGTGTGCTGAGATCCTTTGATGTCATCAGATTGCGTGCCGAGACCTTATGTCGTCAGAGTGTGCTGAGACCTTTTTATGTCATCAGTGTGTGCTGATAGCTTATTCTATCATCAAAGCGTGTGCAGAGAGCTCCTGTCATCACAGCTTGTGCTGAGAGCTTATTCTGTTATCAAAGTGTGTGCTGAGAGCTTATTCTAGGTTCAAAGTGTGTGCTGGGGGCTTATTCTGGGTTCAAAGTGTGCGCTGAGAGCTTATTTGGGGTTCAAAGTGTGTGCTGAGAGCTTATCCTGGGTTCAAAGTGTGTGCTGAGAGCTTATTCTGGGTTCAAAGTGTGTGCTGAGAGCTTATTCTGGGTTCAAAGTGTGTGCTGAGAGCTGAGAGCAAAAACAAAGACAGGAGGACTTGAATAATAGCTCTAAGCCTTTCGTGTTGCAATCAACACATCAGGAGCTTGCAAACTTGCAGAAATGGGTAACAAGTCTCAGCAGATGCGTTCCAAGGGACGCTTGCTAAGAGTGAAGGAGTAGAGGCGGGAAGCATACAGTGCCCAGACACACAAGTGCTAAGTGCCAGACAGTTTCAGTATTATAAGAATAGAGGATAGTCAACCCACAAGGTTACTGGAGTGGTTAACTAGCAAATTAACATTGGTGGTAACATAAGGGTTATCAAAATTATCAGTAGGACTACAGGGCAATATGAAGGAGTTATTCTGAACATGGATGTGTCTGTGCAAGAAAGGTATAAAATACCGACAATATGAAAGTTAAGACACATGTGCAACATCTGGATATCTTTATTGTAGACGTTTCGCCAACCAGTGGCTTTATCAATACAGATTCTAGGACATAATAGGAAGACAGTAGAACTATATACAAAAGATGAGGTAATCAGTCCCTCGGCCTTGGAGTTAGTGTTCACAGCATCGTGGTGGAGGAGAATCTGGAGAAAAGGCAAGAAGACTGGCGGTTATATACGCGTCAGTGGATAGGGACGGGCAGCAGACGAGGGCAGTCACTGGTAGGCGGGATTCCCCAGTGGAAGTAGGTCCTTCCCAAAGAGATGGGTTAGTTGCAGAAGCCGTGAAGAAGGTCTTGTAAATGTCCTCTGAACCAAGATTCCATGATGTTGCAGGACATCTACAAGACCTTCTTCACGGCTTCTGCAACTAACCCATCTCTTTGGGAAGGACCTACTTCCACTGGGGAATCCCGCCTACCAGTGACTGCCCTCGTCTGCTGCCCGTCCCTATCCACTGACGCGTATATAACCGCCAGTCTTCTTGCCTTTTCTCCAGATTCTCCTCCACCACGATGCTGTGAACACTAACTCCAAGGCCGAGGGACTGATTACCTCATCTTTTGTATATAGTTCTACTGTCTTCCTATTATGTCCTAGAATCTGTATTGATAAAGCCACTGGTTGGCGAAACGTCTACAATAAAGATATCCAGATGTTGCACATGTGTCTTAACTTTCATGGATCTGTCTGGCAATTATTTAAGAGGAATTCCACACTTTTAAGGAGAACGGGAAAACGGGTAAGCTCACCTAAAGAGTAGACTAATGGTCGAGCCTCAATAGGGAACATCAACCTTAAGACGGTCCAGAGTATTCATATAAGAATCTGGTTTTACACTTTACACGATAGCCTCAATTATAAAGGAATCTATCTTGAACAAGCCACTACTGCCATTATATAATGGCAGAATGTTTATCGTATATAATAATTACAGACTCGAGAATATTTCTTTCTAGCCATGAAAGTGCATGGAACAATGACTTTTCCTTCAGACCACTTAGCCGGATTATTATAGACTCATGTGTGACTGAATATCGTATTTGATTGTTGAGCAGTCCTTACAGAATACTGATATTGTGTAATTCTAACATTTAGAGATTTGGCAGTCTGTCCCATATACGATAAGCTGTAGCCTTGGCACCCAATCCTGTACACACCACCTACACATGAAAAGGAATTCTTTATCAAAACATTCTTAATAGTCCTTGAATTCTTAAAAACCACTTGTATATTGAGTGTCTTTAGGGAATTCGGTAGAACTGATAAATTCTCAATGAATGTCAGAACAAGCACATTCTTGTCATGAGGTGTTATTCTAGGTTCAGTCCTACAAGTTTTTGACTCACGAAATCGTAATGACACGATTGCAAACATAAGAACATAAGAACATAAGAAAGAAGGAACACTGCAACAGACCTACTGACCCATGCAGAACAGGTCCATGTCGTCCCCGCCCCGATTAGCCCAATGACTCACCCAGTCTGGTCACCTCAACTCAAGGAAGGAGCACTGCACCAGACCCAGCAGTACAAGCTAGTCAGGTCCAACTCACACCCACCCACACCCACTCATGTATTTATCTAACCTATTTTTAAAACTACACAACGTTTTAGCCTCAATAACTGTACTCGGGAGTTTGCTCCCCTCATCCACAACTCTATTACCAAACCAGTGCTTTCCTATATCCTTCCTGAATCTGAATTTTTCCAACTTGAAACCATTGCTGCGAGTCCTGTCTTGGCTTGAAATTTTCAGCACGCTATTTACACCCCCTTTATTTATTCCTGTTTTCCATTTATACACCTCGATCATATCCCCCCTAATTCTACGCCTTTCTAGAGAGTGCAGATTCAGAGCCTTCAGTCTATCCTCATAGAGAAGATTTCTGATACATGGGATCATCTTTGTCATCCTCCTTTGTACGTTTTCCAGAGCATTTATTGGATATAATACGGTGACCAAAACTGTGCAGCATAATCTAAATGAGGCCTAACCAAGGATATATAGAGTTGAAGAACAACCTGAGGACTTCTATTATTTATACTTCTAGATAAGAAGCCAAGAATTCTGTTAGCTTTATTGCGAACACTAATGCACTGTTGTCTTGGTTTTACATTACTGCTAACCAGAACTCCTAAATCCTGTAGTCCATATAAACTACATTATTTAGTTTATATGTGGCATGGTTATTTAACTGTCCAACATTTAGAACTTTGCATTTGTCAATATTAAACTGCATCTGCCACTTCTCCGACCATTGCATCAGTCTATTCAAATCATCCTGGAGTGCTCTAGTGTCCTCACTGGAATGAATTGGACGACCTATTTTGGTGTCATCAGCAGTCTTTACAAACTCCTTAGGATGACATAGTTTTTTTTTAGCAATATCGAAGATTTTCCTAATTTAGGGCTACACAATCTCTAAGCTCTCAAAAATAATAAGAAAATCACTTCTGTTTATTCTAGTTTGATGGTTGGAGTAGCAGTGGATATATGAACACACGTTCGTAGCCTTCCTATATACTGTAAGCTTAAACATTCTATAAACCCTGTGGATCAGAACATCTAAAAATGGAAGTTTTAAAGTTTACTTCTTCTGTGGTGAATTTAATAGAGGAGACAAGAGAGTTAAGTCTCGGTAAGGACATCATTCAACAGCTTAATCGTAAAAAATTCCGTATACAAATTGCTTAATAGTGGAAGCAATGGATTTCCCATAGCCATTCCCTGCCTTTGAGAGTAATATTTCCCTTCAAACTGACTTAAATCTCTTGTCCCATCTATTAAATTCACCGTAAAGAAAGAAGTGGACTTTAAACTTCCATTTTTAGATGTTGTGAGCCACAGGGTTGATAGATTCTTTAAGTTTGCAGTATATAGGAAGGCTACGAACGTGTGTTCATATATCCACTATATATCCCTTCCATGCTTATTGTCGGTGTCACTATTCCTTCTGCCATCAATATTTACTTAAACTAGGGTTTGCGTTTTACTTTATTAATGTGTTTCAATAATTGTTGTAATTCTCTCGAAGGTGGAGCGTGATAGCAGTGGGTTCTTCCGCTTAAAATGGAAGCCGCCACGTCATGGCTACCTGGATGCTGTTAAGCTTCAAAAGCAAGCTTTCGAAGAGTAAGTATTGTACATCTGTAGTAACATACTAAACGCCCACGCCCACACACACACACACACACACACACACACACACACACACACACACACACACACACACACACACACACACACACACACACAAGCAGAGGTATGATAAAGCTCACAGTTCAGGGAGAGTGACCCAGTAGCGACCAGTGAAGAGGCGGGGCCAGGAGCTATGATTCGACCCCTGCAACCACAACTAGGTGAGTACAACTAGGTGAGTACACACACACACACACAGGGGCATGACCTACGAGGAGAGATTAAGGGAAATCGACCTGACGATACTGGAGGACAGGATAAACAGGGGGAACTTAATAACATAAAATACCGAGAGGAATCGACGAGGTGGACAGAGATAGGATGTTCCACAGATGGGACATACTAATGAGGAGTCACAGTTGAAAGCTGAAGACTCAGAAGAGCCATAGGGATGTTAGGAAGTATTTCTTCAGTCACAGAGTTGTCAGGATGTGGAACAGTCTGAGGAGGGAGTTGGTGGAGGCAGGATCTATACATATCTTAAAGAAGAGGCATGATTAAGTTCATGGAGCAAGGAGGATTACGTAGCAGCCACCAGTGAAGAATCGGAGCCAGGAGCTACGAATCGACCCCTGCAACCAAAATTAGGTTAGTACACACAAATACACACACACATACACCTTACAAACATAAGCACAATTGTCCAGGAGAAAGGAAAAAGTGATTTCCTTCCTTTTAAGCTGGACTTGAAAACTTCCTCACTGATAGTTCTTCCTATACCTGCTCCTAACCTGTTTTCTTCACTAACTTCATCCACCTCACATTCACTAACCCCATCCACCCGTCATTGTGGTAGTATACAAGCCTCCAGATGTAACTTCCCAGCAATTCCAGGAGCAGCTCGAGAAAATTGTCCACTGTTTGGAAAATCTCCCAACTCTTGCCTAGGAGATTTCAACCTGAGACACCTAAAATGGAGGAGTATAGCAAATAATGTTTCAGCAGAGATCATCCCAGGCGGCAGCTCAGATGAAAATTCACACACATCTGTGCACCAAATTCACCTTAAACCAGCAAATAGTAGATCCTACAAGACTAGAAAATACGCTGGACCTCATCTTCACTAACAATGACGATCAGATACGTAATATAACTGTATCAAAGACAATTCACTCAGATCACAACATAAGAAAGATACAGACATGTATGCACAGGGCTCTGGACCAGCAAAATGTAAGCAGTCATGAAGGTCTCTTCACGAAATTCAATTTCAATAACAAAAACATACAATGGGATCAAGTAAACCATGTCCTAAATGAAACAAGCTGGGAAGATATCCTAAACAACACGGACCCGATCATCTGCCTTGACAAAAATGAATTCTGTGGTTCTTGAGATCTGCTCAAGACACATTCCATTAAGAAAAAGAAAGAGAGGATGTAAACTAGGAGAGAGACGTTCCTTATACAGACGAAGGTGCAGTCACAGAGCTGCTGAGTGGGGTCAGTATATCTGAAATACGAAAGGAGGCACTAGTCAATGAAACTGCAAATATCAAACTTAAGCTGAAGGAATCTTATAGGAGACGAGAATCACAGAAAGAACTAAAAGCCATAAAGGAAATTAAAAAAAAAATACTTCTTCTCTTATGCCAAATCTATGGGAAAAACAACATCCAGTATTGGTCCCCTGCTTAGCAGGATGGGACATACACAGATGATAGCCAAGAAATGACTGAGATACTAAAGTCCCAATATGACTCAGTGTTCAGCGAGTCACTGCTCACTCTAAGGGTCGACAATCCAAATGAATTCTTTATGAACGAAACCCAAATTTGGTCATCCCAAAAATCTCTGATATTATTCTAAATCCACAAGACTTAGAAGAGGCAATTAATGACATGCCCATGCACTCTGCCCCAGGCCCAGACTCGTGGAATTCCGTGTTCATCAAGAACTGCAAGAAGTCCCTATCGCGTGCCTTCAGCATTTTATGGAGGTGGACAATGGACACAGGGGTCATCCCAACACACTAAAAACAACAGACATAGCCCCACTCCACACAGGTTGCAGTAAAGCAATTGCAAAGATTACAGACCGATAGCACTAACATCTCATATCATAAAAATCTTTGAGAGGGTTCTAAGAAGCAAGATAGCCAACCACCTAGATACCCATCAGTTAAACAACCCAGGGCAACACGGGTTTAGAGCAGGTCGCTCCTGCCTGTCCCAGCTACTGGACTACTATGACAAGGTTCTGGATGCTGTAGACTGTAGAGGATAAACAAAATACAGATGTAGTATACACAGACTTTGCAAAAGCTTTCGACAAGTGTGACCAAGGTGTAATAGCACACAAAATACGAGATAAAGAAATAACGGGAAAAGTTGGTAGATGAATCTACAACTTCCTGACAAATAGAACACAAAGAGTAATAGTAAACAGTAAAGTCTGAGGCAGCTACGGTAAAAAGCTCAGTTCCACAAGGCACAGTACTCGCTCCCATTCTATTCCTCATCCTCATTTCTGACATAGAGATGTAAGCCATAGCTCTGTGTCTTCCTTTGCGGATGACACCTTGGATCACCATGCCAGTGACCTCCATTGAAGACACCGCGAGACTCCAAGCGGACATATGGAAAACTTGAAGAAATTAAAAATGTGTCAGGGTATACCACAAATTCTAACCATACAATAGAGTGGAAAAATAATGTGAAGGACCTGGGAGTGATAATGTCAGAGGATCTCGCCTTCAAAGGCCACAGCAATGTATCTACATCATCCGCTAGGAAAATGATAGGATGGATAATGAGAACCTTCAAAACTAGGGACGCCAAGCCCATGATGATTCTCTTCAAATCGCTTGTGCTCTCTTGGCTGTAATACTGCTGTACACTAACGGCCCCCTTCAAGGCTGGCGACATTGCAGACCTGGAGAGTGTACAAAGAACTTTCACGGCACACATAAGTACGATAAGGCACCTAAACTACTGGGAATGGTTGAAGGTTCTTGATCTGTATTCTCTGGAACGCAGGCGAGAGAGATACATGATAATATACACTTGGAAGGTCCTGGAGGGATTGGTTCCAAATCTGCACACGAAAATCACTCCCTATGAAAGCAAAAGATTCGGCAGGAGATGCAACATTCCCCCGATGAAAAACAGGGGCGCCACGAGTACACTGAGAGACAACATAATAAGTGTCAGGGGCACAAGACTGTTCAATTGCCTCTCAGCATACATAAGGGGGATTACCAATAGACCCCTGGCTGTCTTCAAGAAGACACTGGACAGGCACCTAAAGTCAGAACCTGACCAACCGGGCTGTGGTTCGTACGTCAGCTTGCGTGCAGCCAGCAGTAACAGCCTGGCTGATCAGACCCTGATCCACCATGAAGCCTGGTCTCAGACCGGGCCGCGGGGGCGTTGTCCCCGAAACTCTCTCCAGGTAAACTCCAGGTAAACCTAACATTCACTAACCCCATCCACCTCACATTTACTAACCCCATCCACCTCACATTCACTAACCCCATCCACCTCACATTCACTAACCCCATCCACCTCACATTCACTAACCCCATCCACCTCACATTCACTAACCCCATCCACCTCACATTCACTAACCCCATCCACCTCACATTCACTAACCCCATCCACCTCACATTCACTAACCCCATCCACTTCACATTCACTAACCCCACCCACCTCACATTCACTAACCCCATCCACCTCACATTCACTAACCCCACCCACCTCACATTCACTAACCCCATCCACCTCACATTTACTAACCCCATCCACCTCACATTCACTAACCCCATCCACCTCACATTTACCAACCCCATCCAGCTCACATTTACTAACCCCATCCACCTCACATTAACTAACCCCATCCACCTCACATTCACTAACCCCATCCACCTCACATTCACTAACCCCATCCACCTCACATTCACTAACCCCATCCACCTCACATTCACTAACCCCATCCACCTCACATTTACTAACCCACCCACCTCACATTTACTAACCCCACCCACCTCACATTCACTAACCCCATCCACCTCACATTTACTAACCCCATCCACCTCACATTCACTAACCCACCCACCTCACATTCACTAACCCCATCCACCTCACATTCACTAACCCCACCCACCTCACATTCACTAACCCCATCCACCTCACATTTACTAACCCCACCCACCTCACATTCACTAACCCCATCCACCTCACATTTACTAACCCCATCCACCTCACATTCACTAACCCCATCCACCTCACATTCACTAACCCCATCCACCTCACATTAACTAACCCCATCCACCTCACATTTACTAACCCCATCCACCTCACATTCATTGCTATACTTTTCCAGGCGAATTTTTCAGTTTCTTATGTTCCTTCCTGAGAAGAACCTACTTCTACGTCTTAAACTCAAACTCTAAAACACTACAGAAGCAAGACACCTCAGTATATATATATTATTGTGACTACGAACAAGTGGTATTGATCAATAACATCACTGAGACTAGCCAAGGATTCGAACCCATGCTGCTTTGGCCCGCCGTGAAAAGCCGTGACGCTGTAACCCACAGGACTAAGCTATCCTGTGGGTTAGAGCGTCATGGGTTTTCGCTCACCATAAGGCGGGCCAAAGCAGCATGGGTTCGAATCCTTGGCTATCCGCAGTGTTGTTATTATTATATATATTGGTCAGTTAGCAAGAACTCTTTTAAAATTAAGTAATGTCTAAAATTTTCTCATATCCGTTTAAAAATATATTATTAAAAATATATAATTTTGTACCAAAAGAACCTTAGAAAACTTACCTAACCTTATTATAACAAACGCAATTTAATTTAGCCTAATCCAACTAAATATGTTTTAGATAAGTTTATAATAATTTAATAATAAACACAGTTCAGAATGATTTTTGCAATATCACTCTATACACAAATTTTCGCTTGCCTTATTCAGCAAAGTCAAA